AGCCATGGACCTGACTCAGATTATTCAGGGCCCGACTCATGAGGGGGGCCACACGCCCAATCTTGTTTTCATCTCGGAATGGTGGCGGGTTGAGTTCGGTGAGGGAATATCTGCTATTTACCCCCTGACATGGACTATTTCCTTCGGCTGGGCTTCCAGTATGCCACCCCTCCTTGCTGGGATGCGGGACCGACCACCTGGTTCCGCCCCAGGCACCTGATGGACCCAGAGAGGTTCCAGATGGAGTTTGGGACGATACCTCTCTCTCTCTCCCACGCCCCGGTCGCGGCCTTGGTGGATGCCTGGGATAAGGCGGCTGCCGGGGCTCTCGACTGTGTCATGCCTTTGTGGCCTCTGACTCAACGCAGATCTCAGTTGGCTCTTTGGTTTATGGGGGAGCTCCAAGGGATGAAGCGCCATAGGAGAGGCCTAGAGAGCTGTTGGAGAGCCAGTCGTTCCGAATCTGACCGTGCACAGCTAAGGTCGTTTACACGATCTTACCTGGTGGAGATGGCAGTGAAGCATCGCTACTTCTCCACCCTCATCGCGTCCACAGATAATCACCCGGCTGCCCTGTTTAGGGTGTCCCGTTCCCTCTTGAATCAGAGGGCAGGGGAGGACACTTTGCGAGGGCGGGTTGAGGAGTTTAGTCAGCATCTGCTGGACAAGATCGCTCAGATTCAGGACGGCTTGGACTCTGACTGGGCAGGGTCAGACAGTGGGGAGGCGGCGGATCTTGTTATTTGGGGGGAGTTCGATCCTGTTACCCCTGAGGAATTGGACAGGATCATGAGGAAGCTGAGTGCGACCATGTGTGTATTGGACCCATGTCAGTCCTGGCTGGTTTATTCAGATAGGGAGGTGACACGTGACTGGATACAGGCAGTGATAACTGCTTCCTTGGGTGAGGGAAGCTTTCCTGCCGCCTTGAATTAGGTGGTGGTTAGACCCCCTCCTCAAGAAACCTGCCTTGGATCCAGCTACTTTGAGCAATTTCCGTCCGGTCTCCAACCTTCGCTTTCTTGCGAAGGTAGTTGAGAACGTGGTGGCACGTCAGCTTCCGGTGGCCCTGGATGAAGCGGAGTACCTAGATCCGTGCCAATCAGGTTTTGGGCCCGGATACAGCACCGAGATGGCATTGGTCGCGCTGGTGGATGATCTCTGGAGGGCTCGGGACAGAGGTTATTCCTCTGTTCTGGTCCTATTAGATCTTTTGGCGGCTTTCGATACCATCGACCATGGTATCCTGCTGCGACGCCTCAAGGAGTTAGGAGTGGGAGGCACTGTTTTACGGTGGTTCTCCTCTTACCTCTCGGGTCGTAGGCAAGCGGTGTTGGCGGGGGGGCAAAGGTCGGCCATGAGGCCCCTCACTTGTGGGGTGCCTCAGGGGTCGGTCCTCTCGCCTCTTCTGTTCAACATTTATATGAAGCCGCTGGGAGAGATCATCTGTGGTTTCGGGGTGAGGTATCATCAGTATGCTGATGATACCCAACTTTTTATATCTACCCCGAACCAGCCCAGTGATGCCCTCGAGGTGATGTCCCAGTGCCTGGAAGTGGTATGGGTCTGGATGGGGAGGAACAGGCTTTGGCTCAACCTTGCCAAGACCGAGTGGCTGTGGGTACTGGCATCTCGGTCCGATCAAGAGGTTCCATCTTTGGCTATAGGGGGTGAGGTGTTACCCCCTGTAGACAGGGCACGCAACTTGGGTGTTCTCCTGGACTCACGGTTGAGCTTAGAAGATCATATAACAACTGTGACCGGGGGGGGCGTTTGCCCAGGTTCGCCTGGTGCGCCAGTTGCGCCCCTATTTTGACTGGGATGCCCTACACACAGTTACTCATGCACTAGTCTCCTCCCGTATTGACTATTGCAATGCTCTCTACTTGGGGCTGCCCTTGAAGACCACTCGGAGGCTTCAGCTGGTGCAGAATGCGGCCGCGTGGGTTGTGATGGGAGGATCCCAATACGCCCATGTTACACCTCTCCTGCGCGACTTACATTGGCTGCCGGTTGCCCTCTGGGGGAGATTCAAGGTGCTGGTGATGACCTATAAAGCCCTACATGGCTTAGGCCCAGGATATCTGTCGGACCATCTGCAACCAGCAACAGCTTCCCATTATCCGGTGCGTTCTCACAGGGAGGGCCTACTCAGGGTGCCGTCGGCTAGACAGTGTCGGCTGGTGATCCCCAGAGGTAGAGCTTTGTGGGCGCACCCACCCTTTGGAATCAACTCCCTTGGGGGCTCCGGTTGGCCCCTGACCTTCACACTTTTTGCCGCGAACTAAAAACATGGCTGTTTAAATTGCCTAGCCTGGGCTGATGAGGTTTTGATTTTTAATGTATTTTAATATGCGTTTAATATGTATTTTAACATGTTTCTTACTTGGATTGAGATTGTATATCTTAATTGTTATGAGACGCCCTGAGTCCTATGGAGATAGGGTGGCATATAAATCTAATTAAAATAAATAAATAAATAAATAATAAATAAATAAATAATTTTATTTCTATACCGCCCTTCTCCCGAAGGACTCAGGGCGGTGTACAGCCTATTTAAAAACACAAAAAACACGACAACAATTTAAAATTTAAAATCATTAAATAATTAGGCTCCAATTAAAATCCCAGAAATTTAAAATACCCCAATTTAAAACGTTATGTTAATAGCCCTGCCTGGCGGAACAACAGGGTCTTCAGAGCGCAGCGAAACACCCGGAGGTCGGAAATCTTTCGTATTTCGGGGGGCAGTTCATTCCACAGGGCTGGGGCTCCCACAGAGAAGGCCCTCCCCCTGGGTGTCGCCAGCCGACATAACTTGGCTGATGGCACCCGGAGGAGACCCTCTCTGTGGGAGCGGACTGGTCGGTGGGAGGCTATTGGTGGCAGAAGTCGGTCTTGAAGGTACCCGGGTCCTATGCCATGGAGCGCTTTAAAGGTGATAACCAACACCTTGAATCGCACCCGGAAGACCACTGGGAGCCAGTGCAGCTCGCGCAGGAAGGGTGTCACGTGGGCGCAACGGGTTGCACCCATAACCACCCGCGCGGCCACATTCTGGACCAGTTGGAGCCTCCGAGTGCTCTTCAAGGGGAGCCCCATGTAGAGAGCATTACAATAGTCCATAAAATAAAATAAATAAAAATCTTGTGTGTTGTCAGTGGAAAATAATGAGCTGCTGTAACAGTAAACATGTTGAAGCCTGTGAATTAAAGAAGAAAGGGAGGGAAGGGTTCATAATGATGCACCATTTTTTTTGATTCACACTTTTAAAGGATTTTTGTGATTTTTAACATCAAAACCTTAAAGTTTACACAATCTAGTTATGCTGGATTACTTTTTGCAGTTTTTGCTAGACCAGCTGAAAAAGCTGCACTTTACAACTGTTAAAATACTATGGCTTGGGTATAAGAAAAATATAATTTCTTTCTTTAAAAATGCTGTATTGTGATGACATGTGATTAGATCCAGTAATACAAATGGTAGCAACTACACAATTATTGCAGAACAAAAATTTAAAAGGTGAGAATACAAAGGCATACAAAAATGACTTTATCTCAAACTCAAAATGACGCTTATCTCAAACATTCTGTACTATTTTCAGGTGCTAGCATGTTCCATTCTAAAGTTTATTTTTTCAGTGGATCACGTGAATAGGATGTTCGCCGTCTGTTGCTCTGAATTTTTTTTTCTTCATTTTAAAATTAGAATTACTAATTCTAGGCTAAAAAATCCATATGAACTTCATGGTAGCAAAAAGATGGAAAACATTATTTAGTGATTGTCTGGGTTTTTGCAGACCAGATCTGCTAGTCCTATTTAAATTCAACACTGGAAAATTGAGTTTGATCTGATTTAGGTTCAGATATCACAGTGTAGTAAATTTTACTGACAGAGTCATGAACATGACACCGAGGAAATGAGAAGCATCCCTTTCTGTTTTCAATTAAATTCAGTTTGTAATTTTGTTCAAACTGTAACAAACTGTAACTGTTAACTATGATTCATCTGAACCAGCTGATTTATCTCTTTCAGATCCTAGTTTGTTTGGATAAATCATAATTAAAACCAATAGAACTTCTCATTCAGACTATTACATACCAGCTGCTGGCTACTTTGTTATAAGCCAAATCATGCAACAATGGTTTATGCCATCAAATCATCATTATGCCATCAAATAGGGTATTCCCCCCCCCCCGCTGGGGTTTTATTATTATTTTTTTGTGTATATATTTTTTTAAATTGAAGAAAAATGCCTTCAGACTTTACACGAAATGCTAGAGTCTTGTATTTGGAAGCACACTTCTGCTCCAGATGCAGCTGAAACATTCCGTGATGTATTGTACATTGGGGAACATTTTTATCCTTTCTTGCAGATGTCTAATAAACATCACAATGGTATGTTAGAAGAGGATTTTTCATTCCAGATTGTCTCAATAATTATTAGTTGCACTGATCTTTTTCTCATACATAGTTCTCTTTCATTTTGTGTTCCGTATAGCAGTTTTGTTGGGGGTATTTAAAGATTTATCGAGTCCTTTTTTTTTTCCTGTCAGAGCATTGCCAGGATTTCTGAAATAAGTAACTAACCATAAATGAATGGTTCAGAATTATCTAATGCTATCATACAAAGACAAGTCTCAATCCCTTTTGTGCTCATCGTGTAACTAAAGCAAGGGAAAAAAAGACAAAGCTCTGTGTGCTGGAAATTTTTTTGTATTCTTGTTTTTCTTTACAGTCAGACTTCTACATAAGATCCAGATTCCATCATTTCCCATTTCTGACTATCTTGCATTTTTCTATCGCTTCTTCTACCCTTTTCTCTGTCTAGAAAACATCTAATAGAGTGGGAACATCGAATTTACTTTCCAGTGAGTAGTGCCAAGAAGCATCCATACAAGCCAGGAACTACACATGAGTAAAAAGCTAGTTGCTGGAACAGGCAGAAAAAGACAAAAAGTCAAGGGAGCAGAAAAATACAACAGATGTCCAAACAGCAACAAGCAGAGTACTGGTTTATTTTATAGGCAACATATTTTGGCTGTAACCCATTCCTTAAAAGCAGATCAGCACAGGGAATCGGCGTGTGAGTCACTCTAGGTCAGTCATGAATTCTCGTTGGAAGATTGCTTAGTTACATCACCACTATAAATTGTCTCAAAGGAATCTAGTATTAAAACTTCTTTAGATTTGGGAAAGCTTTGTGTTGGGGTTTTTTTGGTATCCTGAAAAGAAAAAAGATGTGGATCAATTTAAGGCCAGTCTGCTTATCCTGTATAAAACTATTGTATGGTATTACTTTTATTAATTTATAATGCAGTTTAAAATGGATAAAAATAATTGATTAAAGTGGAAAAACTGAGTTATTCAACAGAAAAAACAACTGACCATAGTTGTAGCACAGACAGAAATAAATGCATGAGTGGACAACCTAATGACTAAAACTGAAAGTAACCTAATGTTACTTTCAATTTTAGTCAGCATAACCATTAGGAACTCTAGAAATTATAATTTAACATTAAACAGACACTCATGCTTACCCTGTGTACTAAGATCTCCCACCCAACCATGGTGTGAAAGTCATTGTGTGACCTTAAGTTGAGAAGGAATTGGCTCGATTTTCTTCAGTGGTTTAAGAGAACAAACTAGTAGGAAAAGGAAGAGAATCATCAATATAAGATCTAAAGGAAAAGACAGAATTAGAATGTAAATATTTACATTAATCTTTAAATTATTGCAAATATATACTGCAGGCAGGCATATAGTACCTATTGGTGCTGGGATTCTTCACTGGACTAATATAGCAAGGGACTTCTATGATGTTTGTAAGCAAAAGTTCTTATCACCGTGCAGTAGAATAGCACAGATGGCACAGCAAAGTAAGAAATGGGATTATACTTCCTGATTCTTTTTCTTGTTTAATGGATGCACGGTATAACTTGTGTTCCGGAAGATTCCCAGTTGTGGGAATACAGCCTCTCTGGATATAATTTGTACGTGCACAAGTTCTGTAAAAGCGCTAGATTAAATATGCATGCCAGTAAATGCAAACCCATTTTCTATTCTATACATTTGCATTCTGTCAATCACCTTCTATATATTTTGTGCGATGTACCTTACCTCCCACAGCCAATAACTGTGCTGATGGTAATAGACTTTATATTCCAGACATATCTAGAGAATACCAGTTTGGGAAGGTTGCTCCGTGCCCTCCAATATATTGATTAAGACATCCAGGGAAAGTACAGTATTTGCTCAGTGCATTTTTTTCAGTGCTTGAGTCAACCAACTAGACTCAAGGAGGTGATTACATAGAAACTCATTCTATATAAGCTCATTCATTTACCAAGCTAGTTTTCCTCTAAATGTTCTTTTGCAGAGGAGGAATAGTGAAGGTGAACTTAAATACCCTCTTCGTGAGCTCAATAGAGATATTTGGCTAAAAAGAATACTGGTGGTTCCGTATGATCCAATAGGGAAGTTTCCTCATTGTTAATGCCCAGGATATTAAGGAATAAAATTAAAGAGACAGTATAGCAGAGTAGCTAATTAAAACCAAACCATAGAAGGAAAAATTGAGAGGCTTTTGGAGATCTGGCATGATACAGATAGTTTTCTGACCAGAAAGGCAAACCCTTTAATTATGCTAAGTTAGTCTTCTTTTAAAAAAAGAAATCCCCAAAAAGTTCTAATAAAGGCAAGGATTCAACTCAAATGAAACAATAGTTTATAACTTTGAAGCTCAACTTCCTTTGTTTCCATTGATTCACTAATAAATGAGGCAAAGCTTAAAAAACAAAGCATGTGGGCAGGCTGCCTAAGCAGAGTCTTTTATCCATCAATTCTCTGCTTGAATGCTTTCATTATAAGCACAAACATAGCTCAGGTCACCAGGTCAGAAAACTGGGTGCTGCCTGGAGCATGTTGGCTAAATGTAGTTACCTCTCAATTTACAAACAGTCCCAGGGGATCATTTCCTCTCTTTTTAATTTTTGCCCACTCTCCCCTAGCCTCTTGTACTAGAGTTCTGAGTGAAAACTTACTTGAAATGGAAATTATGAACATTACTTTTTGAGGACAAATTGCCAAGTCAGAACAGAAAAATATGTAGAATGCTTCTTATTATTTTAATTGGATCTCTCCAACACAATGGACTGTTGGATTGCAGCCCCCATCTTCCTTCCCTTCTGTTAGGCATCATGGTTTTCCCATCTCTTGAAGGGTGACAGATTGGGGAAGGGTCTTTTAATTGGCAAATAAGTCCAATGATGTTTGGAATGGCAGTTTATCATGCGATGTGTAGTAATAAAAAAAATAATGCAAACCTGGAGTGGATTATCAATATATCAATATATTATCAATCAAGAGCCAGTTTGGTCTTGTGGTTAAGGCACCAGGCTCAAAAGTGAGATCAAGAGTTCAAGTCCCACCTTAGCCATGAAAGCTAGTTAGGTGACTTTGGGCCAGTCACTCTCAGCCCAGCCCTCACAAGGTGGTTGTTGTGGGGAAAATAGGAGGAATGTGTGTTGGATATATTTGCCTCCTTGAATTATTTGTAAAAAAAAAAAAAAAAAGGCGGGATACAAATAAATAATTGTTTTAGTTTTATAGAATAAAGTTATTTGAGGCAATTGGGAGTTACAACGATGTGGTGACATCATGTTCAATAGATAATGCTGAAATTATATGTTTTGCACTTGCGCAGAATTTTGGTGAGTTGGTTTTTACTTTTAAAAGCTTGTCTTAAAACAATCCGATAGTATATATCCATCACTGTTACTTGAATTGAAAACTGAGGGAAATTCCAGTAAATTTCGGCAGCACAATAATGGTGGGCATAGAAAAGGGACTCAAAGGCTGAATTTGGCTTTTGTGTTGGCTATTCCCTCTTCATACAAACAGCATTTTTGAAACCACACTGTTCTGTGCTTTCTCTTTCTCTTAATCCTTCACAGTTGGCCAGGAGGATTTCCTTCTGAGAAATTGGACAAAGAAGGGAAACAGCTGAAGTTATAATTCCACTTCAGCCCATCTCAGAATGACTTTTCAGTAGGTTCATCTTATAAAACCATAATTTGGATAAAGTTAATTTTAGTCTTGATTGGATCCTATTGAAAGATATTTCTGATTTGCCACTATAAGAGCCATGGTGGTGCAGTGGTTAGAATGCAGTATTGCAGGCTAATTCTGCTGACTGCCAGCAGAATTATTTTCACTGGCTCAAGGTTGACTCAGCCTTCCATCCCTCCTTGGTAAAAGGAGGACCCAGATTGTTGTGGGCAACATGCTGACTCTGTAAACTGCTTAGAGAGGCTGTAAAACACTGTGAGACAGTATGTAAGTTTTAAGTGCTATTGCTATTGCTATAATACTTGCTGATCTCTAGAAATGGGTTTGGTGCATTGCAGACAGGTGATACAACTTTAGATACATGGGGTGTCCTTTCTCTCCAATGCACCTGCTGTTTATTTTACCATCCTGTATATTTGTATGTTTAAAAAGAAGGTGAAGCAACCTGTTTGGTACATGTAAGGTGATTTAGGATAAATAGAGTGCCCGATCTATGCATTACAAGCCAAGACTGAATTATCAATTGGGCATAGGAAGGAATTTATTGCACAAGAAACACTGTTATTCTGTGCGAAAAGAAAAAGCTACATCTGTTTACCCTAATTTTAGGTGGAAAACAATGTGTGTGCTTTTGTCTGTTCATAGACAAAATGTCAAACTGAGATGCTAATAACTTCCATTGAAACTTGCTTGAAATTAACTAATTATCAGCGCCGTAGGGATTAATGAGTTGTCTGAAAGTAAGAACAACCTATTCAGGTAAAATCTTTTGATCTCCAAGCATTCCAGAAATCGATCCATCTTTACAGCATATTTCAAAAAAGCTGTAGCATCTTCATCTGTATGTAAGCCAGCCATCTGCCCTAGGCTTCTTGCTGGGAAGGTGTTAGGTTTTCTGTCCATTAATTTCCTGACTGTAGAAATGACGTCTGTATTTTCACTACCAAATGGCATCAGTGGAAGTCTTTACACCGTGGATTTTGGAGTAAGAGAGCCCAAGATGTTTCTAGTTAACAAGGTTACTGGTATTGACTGAGCTGACTTAATAACAGATGTAGCAACTGATATATGATTTTCAGTTTTTCCAGAACATTGGGGAAAAAATGAGAGCTTCCATCTATGGCCACCAGACTAATGAATATCAAGTGTTTTCTTTCCACTGTAGACAGATTGAAGAGAGATGGAGGGAATTTACCATGCCTTAGGCTCTTTGCCATCAGAAGCTTCTGCGTATTTATTAAACCAGTTCAGTTACTTTGAGGATGGGGAAGCAGATTGCTTTGGGTTTATTCTTCTCTGAGTCTTTCAGCCTTTTAAGGACATAGTGTAACTGAATTTATATCAGTGACCAATTGTGTGCTTGAAACCGTGTGCTTCAAGCTGTGCTTCAAATCTTGTGGAAGTGGGTCTGTCTTTTGTAACACTTTTACAAACATATTTGTAAGTTAGGAAAATAGAACTAAAAAACAAAAACAAACAAACAGGGCTCCTTTAAGGATGTCTTACCTGGCCATTCAAGGAATGTCTTTTGGGGGTTCTTTGATCCAAATAAGACCAATTACAAATAGAGCAGGTGGTAAATCTAATTTACTTCAGAGTCTTTCAGGAGATGACAAATTTATTTATTTATTTTTTATTTATTTATTTAAATTTCTATACCGCCCTTCTCCAGAATAGGACTCAGGGCGGTGAACAGCCAGAGTAAAAAACAATACATACAAAATTTAAAAACAATTTAAAATAATTAAATATTATTGGCCATAAATTAAAATAACCCAATTTAAAATCAATTTAAAATTAACTCAAGCCAGCCCCGCTAGTTGAAATAAATGGGTTTTCAGGGCCCGACGAAAAATCCGGAGGTCTGTTATTGTACGTATCTCTGGGGGGAGGTTGTTCCAGAGGGTGGGCGCCGCCACAGAGAAGGCTCTCCCCCTGGGGGTCGTCAGCCGACATTGGCGGACGGCACCCTGAGGAGGCCCACTCTGTGCAAGCGTACTGGCCGGTGGGAGGCTATTGGTGGCAGAAGGCGGTCTCGTAAGTACCCCGGCCCTAAGCCATGGAGCGCTTTAAAGGTGGTCACCAACACCTTGAAGCGCACCCGGAAGACCACCGGGAGCCAGTGCAGCTCGCGCAGGAGAGGTGTTACATGGGAGCGCCTCATCGCCCCCATAATCCCCCGCGCGGCCGCGTTCTGGACCAGCTGGAGCCTCCGGGTGCACCCCAGGGGGAGCCCCATGTAGAGAGCGTTGCAGTAGTCCAGGCTGGAAGTGACGAGTGCCTGAGTGACTGTGCGTAGGGAGTCCCGATCTAGAAAGGGGCGCAACTGGCGTATCAGGCGGACCTGATAAAAAGCTCCCCTGGCCACGGCCGTCAAATGATCTTCTAACGACAGCCGTGCATCCAGGAGGATGCCCAAGTTACGAGCCCTCTCCGTGGGGGCGAGTGATTCGCCCCCAATAGCCAGCGATGGCATCAGCTGGCTATATCGGGACGCCGGAAGCCACAGCCACTCGGTCTTGGAGGGGTTGAGTCGGAGCCTGTTTCTCCCCATCCAGGCCCGCACGGCCT